GGGTGACGATTCGGTGGCATTTCATTCACAAGGGTGATTTATTTTCCTTCGAGCACTACAGAATTACTGCAGAATTTCTTTTTTTTTTTTTTTTTTTTTTTTTTTTTCTAAAGAGCTGAAGTAGCTTAATGAGATAACTTGCAAAAATACAACTGATCATGAGCTAGAAAACATCTTCCTTTCTTTGATAGTTTACCTGATGTTTCAGGGGTGATTGGACTGACAACAAAACTCTGCTGAGGTGCCTTCTCCTGTGATGTGTTCCTGCCACTGCTTAGAATTACATGCATGGCATAAAGCAGTACAGGGCTGACACTGTTTTTCCTCCACCCAGTCTTCATTACATGGTACTTTTTTCTTTTTAAGAGCTAAGGTAATTAAATATCAGCAAAATCTACAAGCCTACAAAGGAACATTGCTTTCTCACTGCCATAAATTTCCATTAGACAGAAAGATTTATGTCATGTACTGTTTGAAAACCTTCTGCTATCTCCAAGTTTAACCTTCTTGCACAGAGCTGTAACCATCAAAGCTACTTAAATGAAATATCAAATAATAATTTTCTCCAAAAGAAAAGGCCTCTGCTGGAAAGCCAGAAGGCTGCAGAAAGACCCAACAGGACATTATTAATTACAAGAGTAAATATGGGCAAATAGGGAGTGTACACTGCTTCCCAAGCTAACCCCGTGACTGGATGATTAAGTTTAGGGCCAGGTTAGACATTCTGGATTTTTATACTAAAGAAAAAGGAAACAAAATTACTGCTTTTCCAAATAAGCTGGCATTTTTCTTTCAGTATATTTCATTTCCACATGCTCTGTAACCATATACAATGATGAAAACATTTTCCAACATGAAAAATTAATCAGATCGCAAATATAAAGAACATTTAAACTAACCTTCTCTACCAGAAAGCGATCAGGCAATGCTTCAGACTGACAGAAGTTATGCAAATTGGTTCCCTCTATTAGCACAACATGCAGCCTGAGGAAAGAAAATCTGTTAGAAACAATTCAAATTCACGAGCTGACAGCAAAATTGCAATTTATGGCTCACGGTTCCCTATAATTGGAGCTACAGGGAAAAAAAAAAAAAAAAAAAAAATCCCCCTCAACTCTCCAATACAGAAGGGTTTTGGTCAGAGTGCGGTGTTCCAGAAGCCCCCTCGTGTTAAAAGAGAAAAAAAAAAAAAAAAAATCAAACTCAACTCTCCAATACAGAAGGGTTTTGGTCAGAGTGCGGTGTTCCAGAAGCCCCCTCGTGTTAAAAGAGAAAATACCCCGGCAACACAAACCTTCATGATCTACCCGGCGTGCCTTCACTGGAACCAGCTGGTGTAAAGTTGGAGTGCTGCCCTGACATTGTTTCACCCAAATGCAAACACAGCCAGACGGGATAAGCAWCTGGATGCCTTTTCTGGGCCTTTTAGCTTGGTGTCTGTCAACGACTACCTGTTAGTGGAACGCGTCATGAGCACAATTCAGATGGTTTTACTCATTTACTGARCCCGCACAGCAGCTACGGCCCGCCGCGGCCGCGGCTCGGGGGGTGTTACCGAACCGCTACCGGGGCGCTACCACCGCGCAGTGCCACGTGTGCCTCGRGTACTCTTTTGTGCGCGACACCGGGTCCGGCTGCCGCGGCCCCGGGACTGACACATAGGCACGGCCTCGCCGCGGCCCCGGCAGCGACATCGGCACCGACACCGGCACCGACACACGGGCACGGCCTCGCCGCGGCGGGACGGGAGCGGAGCTCAGCGGCACCGGGAGAGCGGCTCCGCCCC